AAAATGTCAGAAAATACTTGTTGAACCAGTAAATATTTTAATAACTGCGGGTATTACATTGCAGATACTTGTTGACAGGCTCTACTAGGTGGTATGATTCTTGAGAACAGGGGACTTATTTATTCTTTTTTTAAAAAAGTGATTAATTTTTAAAAATTTTTATTGGAGTATAGTTGATTTACAATGTTGTGTTCGTTTCTGCTGTACAGCAAAGTGAATCAGTTAGACACATACACAGAGCTATTCTTTTTTAGAGTCTATTCCCATATAGGTCATTACAGAGTATTGAGATGGTTTGATTTTTTAAAATATTTATTTATTTATTTATTTGGTTGCGCTGGGCCTTAGTTGCAGCTCTCAGGCTCCTTAGCTGCAGCAGGCGAACTCTTAGTTGCGGCATGCATGTGGGATCTAGTTCCCTGACCAGGGATTGAACCCTAGCCCCCTGCACTGGGAGCACAGAGTCTTAACCACTGGACCACCAGGGAAGTTCTGGGACTTATTTATTCTTTCACTTATTTTTTTTCCACAGAAGTTTCTGAGCACTCCACATGTACTAGTCTGCTATAGGACTGCTATAACAAAATACCATGGACAACAGAAATTGTGGCTTAAACAACAGAAATTTAATTTCTCACAGTTCTGGAGGCTAGAAGTTCAGGATAAATCAGCCATCAGGGTTGGTTTCTAGTGAGAGCTCTTTCTGACTTGCACATGGCTACTTTCTCCCCGTGCCCTCATGTGGTCTTTCCTTTGTGTACACACATGGGAGAGATCTCTGTTTCCCGGGGTGTCTCTTACTCTTCTTACAAGGATACCAGTCCCATTGGATCAGGGCCCCACCCTTATGACTTCATTTATGACTTCACCCTTAATTACCTTCCTAAAGGCCTTAGCTCCAAATACAGTCACATGGAAGATTAGGGCTTCAACATAAGACTTTTTGGAGGGACGCAATTCAGCCCATAACACCATGTTAGTCAGTAGAGATACAGCAACCACCAAAACAGTTCTGACTCCAACCTGCAGGGAGTCCATAGCATTTACTACAAATAGTAAAATTTGACAAAAATGTTCCTAGTTGGGGCGTTGCTGAAGGTAGTGTCAGAAAGCACTGTAGGGGGACTTTCCTGGTGGCACAGTGGTTTAGAATCCACCTGGCAATGCAGGGGACACGGGTTCGAGCCCTGGTCCAGGAAGATCCCACGTGCCGCGGAGCAACTAAGCGCGTGAGCCACAACTACTGAAGCCTGTGCACCCTAGAGCCCACATGCCGCAACTACTGAGCCTGCATGCTGCAACTACTGAAACCCATGCTCCTAGAGCTCGTGCTCCACAACAAGAGAAGCCACCGCAATGAGAAGCCAGCACACTGCAACGAAGAGTAACCCATGCTTGCCACAACTAGAGAAAGCCCACATGCAGCAACAAAGACCCAACACAGCCCAAGAAAGGAAGGAAGGAAGGGAGGAAGGAAGGGAGGGAAGAAGGGAGGGAGGATTGCAGGAAGCAGATGATACCAACAACAGCACTAATAACAATAGCTGATGTTTATTCTGTACTTCCTATGGGCCAAGCAATGTTATAAACAAGAAACGACAGAGCGAGGTAGACACCACTATCCTTTGTCTACAGCAAAGGTGCAGAGAGGATACACACCTTGCCAAGTTCATACAACTAGTACTTGGCTGAGATGGGATTCAAACCCAGTCAGCTGGACCCCAGAGCCACGTCTTTAACAATTGTGTTATAGAAGCTTTGAGAACCATCCTGCCTCCTTCACCATATAGATGAAAACCACATGGTTCTTTTTCCATCTCCAGCGTCGGACGTGTATCTCTGTTGGCTGAGTTGTGGCAATATCCCTACATGGTGCATAATCTACAAGCTCAGATACGGCCCCTCTTGCACCATTTGGTTACTTTTTATTCATAATAATAACTGGTATTAGTTCAGTACTAACCAGTTTACAAAGCATTTTCATATGCCTTAGCTGAGTTAATCTTCATAATAATACTAGTCGGTAGGTATTGTGACCCCATTTTATAGGAGAAGAAACTGAGAGTAAGAACGAGAGGATAAAGATGCCAGAAAAAAAAAAGGTTTTTCCTTGAAGGAGTGAGGGCTTCGGAACAACCTCACTGGAATCCCTGGCCTTAGGCTTGGATTTCACTAGCTGTGAGGTCTTAAGCAAGTTGCTCCGTCAAGGGAGTGCTTTCCTAGCCCCGGCTTCTTACCTTAAAGCAGGGCATCTCAGCCTTGGCACCGCTAACATCTCAGGGCTGTCCTGTGTGTTGTAGGATATACAGCAGCATTCCTAGTCTCTACCCACTAGATGCTAGATGCTAGTCTCTACCCACTAGATGTCACGCCAGCTGTGACAACCCAGAATGCCTCTAAACATTGCCAAATGTCCCCTGAGGATAAAATTGCTCCTGGTTGAGAACCACCTTAGTGACAGGCCAGGGAGAGCCAAGAGTCGTAGAAGCTCATCCCCTGAAACACGGTCATATGTAGAGAGGGGGCCCCCAGGTCCCCGCAGCCCATCAAAGTCTGCCTTGATCTCCGAGGCAGGAATCTATCCTCTGTGCTCAGTATATGTCTTATTAATGTGTAACTTTATAGATAATTTATACGCGGTCTGCCACAGTCCCCTGCACCCCTTGCCAACAGCGAGGGGTCTGTCGTGGCAGCTGGGAGGGAGGTGAGGGATGTGACCAGGCATGGAGTTCACAGAGCCAGCGATGGGCTGAAGGCCTGATCAACTGGGGGCTCCAGGGATACTTGAATAGTTGAAGACCTGGGTTCTAGTCCTGGATTTGCCTCCAGTGTGGCCGTCATGAAGTCCTAGTTTGGTCTTCTCTAACCTCGGGCCAGTGACACCTGTCTTACTTGCTCAGTTAAGATGAAGCATATGGAGGCTCTTTTAAGCTAAGTGTGCTGTGTGTCAGCTCTCAGTATAAAGAACACCTGCTCTGGTCCCACAGGCCTCTGACTGTCGCCAGAAATTGCGCCATAGAGACATTCCTTTGTGTGAAGGCAAGTCCAGAACTAACCTGAAATCCGTGCCAGCTTCCTGGAATTCTCTCCCAGCCTCCCAGAATTCATGACCATTCAGCTCTGCCTTTACCGACTGCTGGTCTACCTGCCAAAGTTTCCCAGGGAGAAAATCCACACGAGCTGCATGCAGATCCTTCTAAAAGAAGGTCAGGAAAATTTGGAACCAGGACTGGTTCCTGCCACCATAACCGGCCCAGGTGATCAGGAGACGGGGGACAGCCCTTACTGGCTTTCCTTAGGACAACTGGGGAAACTAAAGAAGCAGCACTGTCTGTTTGTGAATGAGCATACGTGGCATGAACTTAAGAAATGGTTCTAAACACACTTCTACTCTCTCTCTATTTCACATGGATGTTAAATTACCCCTTTAAATCTTAGTGTTCTTTTCAGAATAGTCAATATGAATCTGCCCTTCCTTCCTTTCTTTGCAGATTCGTTCTTCTTTTCTTAGAAAACTCTACCAACACCACTTAAATATACCATTTGAAAACGGCTGGGGTGCCACATTCAGTGAGTGGACTTACACTTACTTTTTTAAAGTTAATTTTTTAATTTAATTGTTGCTTCACCCCTGTCCTTCACTGGGCCTGGTATCACCAGAGTGCAAACGCTTCATGGTTCAATATCTCTAGAGATGAAATCTCCCAACTCTTGCATTTTTAAACAAATTTTCTTTGGGACGATTTACTGCCAACTGGAGAAGAAAATTTAAATTCTTGAAATCAATGCTGAAAGTAGTAGAACAAGCAAGAGGAGAGAATCTGTGCTGTGGGGTAGGACTCCTCCCTGGGGACTTTTGAAATTGTTGGTAAAAAACTATGGAAAAAAATCAACAAAGCAAAATGAAACTAACAAGTGGAATAGGCTGAAATGAATGAGAAATTTTCTAAGTGAAAAATATGACAAAGTTTTTAAAAGCACAAATTGATTTTAAGATTAGTCTTTAATTTCTTGAATTTTGACCTATTTGTTTAACCAAAACATCTGCTTCTATGAACTCCTGCTTGTTATTCAGGTAATACACAGTTCATTGTTCATCACATTTAATGCTTCACTCCCTGGATAGCCATTGATTCTCTTCAGAGTCCCTGGCAAAGTGTGAAAGAGTTCATCTTTGGCCTCCCTGACCTCTGCTCCCTCATTCATTCATTCAACAAACGTTTGTTGAGAGTCTGCTGTGCTTCAGACACTATACAAGGGAAAGTGGACCCAGACCAAGAAGAGCTCATAATAAATGGGGAACACCAAACAGTACACAGGAAAGAGCTACAGTTGAGAATTATGTATGAAATATTGAGTGACCACAGCTGAGGAACCATAAAACTTCCACTGAGAGCATGGGATGGTTTGGCCATCGAGGTCACAAATGAACTATTTTAACATCTCCTCCACCCATATTATCTGACTCATTCATCTTCTCCATTACTTGCAAACAAAAATAAAGCTTACTTTCTTCCCATTGTAATAAAAGCATGGGGTGGAATTCTCTAATGAGTTGCATCTGTTCTTGTACTCCAGGTCTTCCCAGGAGGAGCCTGTAATTGAGTGGAAGGTCACAGACTTTGGAATCAGAAATTAGAATTTCCCACCACTTAATTGCTATGGACCTTGGGCAAGTATAAGTTACTTGACCTCTCTGGACCTTAGATCCTTGTCTGTAAAAAGAGATGACAAGAAGAACTAGGTGGCAGCCTGCTGTCTGTCAGGATAGCAATAATGTATATAAAATTACAGACAGGGGCTTGCTTCTCTGGTGGTGCAGTGGTTGAGAGTCCGCCTGCCAATGCAGGGGACATGGGTTCATGCCCCGGTCTGGGAAGATCCCACATGCCGCGGAGCGGCTGGGCCCATGAGCCATGGCTGCTGAGCCTGGGTGTCTGGAGCCTGTGCTCCGCAACGGGAGAGGCCACAACAGTGAGAGGCCTGCGTACCACAAAAAAAAAAAAAAAAAAAAATTCCAGACAGTTACACTGATTGCTTCCAGTGATTCAAGCCCACTGGTATTCATGGCATTTACGTCCTTGGGTAGAGTCTCCTCCTAAACTGACTTTGGGCTCGTCCTTATGAATCGCTTGGCTCATGGGACCTGTGACACAGCAGAGGCTGGATAAGCACGCACACACTGGGGCTTACATTCTCAGAATCCAGATGCCCAGTAAAAAGAGAGGTCCCAGCTTCCCATCTACCTCCACCAAGTGAGACCTTCCAGCTCCAGGCAACCCACCTGCCGAATGCAGCTTCTTGATCAAGCCCAGGCAAGACCAGCAAAAGAACCACCCAGCCAAGCCACAAAATCATGAGAAGTAACAAATGTGTTTTTTTGTTTTTTTTTTTTTTCTTTTCCTTTTTTTTTTTTTTTGTGGGTTCTTTTTGTGTGTGTGTTTTGTTTTTTATTTTTTAATATTTATTTATTTGGCTGCTTTGGGTCTTAGTTGCGGCACGTGGGATCTTTAGCTGTGGTATGAGTTGTGGCATGCATGTGGGATCTAGTTCTCTGACCAGGGATCAAACCTGGGGCCCCTGCATTGGAGCATGGAGTCTTAACCACTGGACCACCAGGGAAGTCCCTAAATGGTTTTGTTATAAGCCACTAAGTTTTGGGATGGCTCGTTAAGCAGGAATACACAATGGATAAGTTAATTCCTACGACTACGACCTGTTTTTACTCAGAAGACTTCTGATACCAAATATGTGAGGGTTTTCCCCACACCAATAAATTTTCCAACTCCCTGGACCCCAACTGCGTGTTTTATAATTTGATTCTGACACTAACTACCTGGGTTTAGCACACACCTGATGGGTTAAAGGCTCAGTCCCAAAGAATGCCCCCACTTCAGAGACCAACTGCAAGTCCAGGCCTCCCAAACTTCTGACCAACCATCTGTAAAGTTGGGGGGTGGGGTCCCACACCCCCTCCTCAGGCTCAATAATTTGCTAGAATGGCTCACAGAACTCAGGATACAACTCAGGAATGGCCAAATGGGAGATGCATTGGTAGCACACCCTCTTAGCATCTTGATGTGCTCACCAAGCTGGAAGTTCTCCAAACCCTGTAGTCTAGGGGTTTTATGGAGGTTTCATTATATAGGCATGATTGATTAAATCATTTGCCCTTGGTGATTAACTCAGTCTCCCCAGAGGTCCAACCTTCTAATCACAAGATTTGTTCCTCTGCCATTCGGCTATCTAGGAACGAGCAAGAGTTACCTCATTAGCATAAACTCAGATTTGGTTGAAAGAGTCTTGTTATGAATAACAAAAAACACTCCTCTCACACCTACCACTCAGAAAATTTCAAAGAATGTGTTATTTAATTTCTTTCCATTTGTAAATGTTCCAAATTTCCTTCTGTTATTAATTTACAATTTCATTCCATTGTGGTCAGAGAACACAAAGGTATATAGGTATTTTTAATGGTGTTCTTTATTTGTGTAGATTAGAGTTACTGTCTAGAGTCCTTTTATTTCAACTTGAGAACCTCCTTGAGCATTTCTTTTTTTTTATAGTAATCTTTTATTCATTTTTTTTTAATATTTATTTTTGGCTGTGTTGGGTCTTCGTTTGCTGTGCAAGGGCTTTCTCTAGTTGCCGCAAGCAGGGGCCACTCTTCATTGCGGTGCGCGAGCCTCTTCACTATGGCGGCCTCTCTTGTTGCGGAGCACAGGCTCCAGACGCGCAGGCTCAGTAGCTGTGGCCCATGGGCCCAGCTGCTCTGCGGCATGTGGGATCCTCCCAGACCAGGGCTCGAACCCGCGTCCCCAGCATTAGAGGCAGATTCTCAACCACTGCGCCACCAGGGAAGCCCCTCCTTGAGCATTTCTTGTAATACAGGTTTGCTAACAATTCTCTTACTTAAAAAAATCTGTGAATGTCCTCATTTCACTTTCATTTTAAAGTATAGCTTTGCTGAGTATAGAATTCTTGGTCGACAGTCCTTTTTCTCCCCCAGGACTTTGAATATGTCACTCCACTGCCATCTGGTCTCCATGGTTTCTGATGAGAAATTGTCTGTTAATCTTACTGATGATTCTTTGAGATGAGCCACTTCTCTCTTGCTATGTTCAAGATTCTTTCTTTGTCTTTAGCTTTCAATTGTTGGATTATGTGTCTAGGTGTTGATCTCTTTGAGGTATCCCACTTGGAGTTTGCTTAGGTTCTTGGATGTATAGACACCCAAGGGACAGTTTTTATGAACTGCTTTTCCTCCTGTGTATAGGCCATACTTTTCTGTTTCTTTCAAATCATGTAATTTTTTGTCAAAAACTGGACATTTTAAAGAATATAATTAGCAATGCTGGAAATCAGATTCTCCCCTCCAAGGTTTTTGAATTTGTTTTTTCCTCTCTCTTTCTGTTTTGCTACTTGTTTGCTTAGTGGCTTTCCTGAACTAATTCCGTAGAGTTTGTATTTTTTGGTCATGTGTGGCCGCCGAATGCTTTGTTCATTTAGCTTAGTGGTCAGCTAGTGATTGCATAGATATTTTCTTAAACTCCCTGAACCAGTACATCTCCCAGCTTTGCTGAGCGTTTCTATGTGCATGTTGGGGTCACAATCAATGCTCCAGCAGTTTACAACTCTGCCTCATTTCCTGCTTGCGCAGAGCCTCAAGTTCAGCCAGAGTGAGAGATTAGGGTCTTTTCCACCATCTCCTGGGCATGCGCACAGCCCTGCACATGCCTCTGGACTTTTAGATTTTTATTAGTATGTCAGAGCTTTTAAAATCTTCTTATGGACATCTCATTTTACAGCTTTTCCTTTTAAGATTTTGGTCAGCCTTTTGTTTCTTCCAACTGTATTGCCACTTCAAGCAGCTGTGATATTAAACAATTGCTGTTGATTGCTTTTTTGTTTTTTGGGGTTTCTTTTGGCTGCATTGGGTCTTCCTTGCTGTGTGCAGGTTTTCTCTAGTTGTGGCGAGCGGGGGCTACTCTTCGTTGTGGTGCACAGGCTTCTCATTGTGGTGGCTGCTCTTGTTATGGAGCACGGGCTCTAGGCACGCAGGCTTCAGTAGTTGGGGCTCACTGGCTCTAGAGCACAGGCTCAGTAGCTGTGGCGCACAGGCTTAGTTGCTCTGCGGCTTGTGGGATCTTCCCAGACCAGGGCTTGAACCCGTGTCCCCTGCATTGGTAGGCGGATTCTTAACCACTGTGCCACCAGGGATGTCCCCTGCTGATTGTTTTTGACAAATGCCCCTGGAAAAATCTGTTCACATTTAGTGAGCTCTGAATTGGTGAACTAAAGACAAGCCCTGAATTTGGTGGTTTCCAGGGAGCTACCAGAGAAGTCAAATAAAGACAATTCTCTGGGAATGGGGATTTAAGAGACCTCTAAACTCCTTGTGCCCCCTCCACTTGCTGTTATGCTGCTGGTTTTCACAAACAACTACAACAGTTACAAAGTTCTTGGTTTTCAAGACTATTACAAAGCTAGAAATAAGGAATGGAAATTGAGCAAGTTAAAAATGCCATAAAGTTCATTGCTCTTACCAATATTCAGTTGTTTTTCTTGAATAAATGCTCTTAGGATTGTTGCAAGATTTTATTTAATTTCCAAACTTGTGACAAAGTTGATTTTGAAAGAATTTTTTTAGTGTTCTCATTGCCTTTATGGAAGAGTGGATTTTCAAAGTCCTTACTCCACCATCCCAAAAGCTGACTGCCACTCTACCACTTTTTATAACCTAGCGTCATAAATCAAGTAGCATCATTTTGTTGAGGCAGTCACAGAGGTGTGCCCAATTTCAAGTGAGAGGCAATAGATTCTATCACTTGATAGGACAGCGTCAAGTCTCTGGAAGAGCACGTGGGAAAAGAAATGGGCCATTTTTGGAAAATATAATCTGCTACATTTACTATTTTGGAAAAATCAAGCCACCAATGGCAGTTCTGCTTGTACTATCCAAGTTACCAGTTCAACAGACTAGAGTCAGTTTACATTTGTGCTATCACATATATGGAGATGATTTTTCTAAGCAACTAATCAAGTCTTCTGGATTTGTAATGGCCACGAATTTTTATATTAAACTACTGTTCAGGGCTTCCCTGGTGGCGCAGTGGTTGAGAGTCCGCCTGCCGATGCAGGGGACACGGGTTCATGCCCCGGTCCGGGAAGATCCCACATGCCGCGGAGTGGCTAGGCCCATGAGCCGTGGCCACTGAGCCTGCGCGTCTGGAGCCTGTGCTCCTCAACGGGAGAGGCCACAGCAGTGAGAGGCCCGCGTACCAAAAAAAGCAAAAGACAAAAAACAAAAACCTACTGTTCATATTTTTCCTTTTATTTATTTTATGTTATAATTAATACATTCTATTATTATTCTGAATTAAGTTGATTATTAAATTTAAAACTTTGTTATTGCGGTATCACTTATATATGGTAAAGTGCACAAATCATCAGTGTACAGCTCAGTAAATTTTTTTAAGCAATTGTACTCACTTATTATTTCTCACAGTTTCTATTAGTCAAGAATTCAGAAAAGTACCAATGGCATTTTTCACAGAAAGAGAGAAAACAATCCTAAAATTTGAATGGAACCATAAAAAAACCCTGAATAGCCAAAGCAATCTTGAGAAAGAAGAACAAACCTGGAGTCATCATGCTCCATGATTTAAAACTATATTACAAAGCTATAGTAATTAAAACAGTATGGTGGGACTTCCTTGGTGGTGCAGTGGTTGAGAATCCGTCTGCCAATGCAGGGGACATGGGTTCGTGCCCCGGTCCGGGAAGATCCCACATGCCGCGGAGCGGCTGGGCCCGTGAGCCATGGCCGCTGAGCCTGCGCGTCCGGAGCTTGTGCTCCGCAATGGGAGAGGCCACAACAGTGAGAGGCCCAAGTACAGCAAAAAAACAAAACAAAACAAAAAAACAGTATGGTGGGGCTTCCTTGGTGGTGCAGTGGTTGAGAATCTGCCTGCCAATGCAGGGGACATGGGTTTGAGCCCTGGTCCGGGAAGATCCCACATGCCGCAGAGCAACTAAGCCCGTGTGCCACAACTACTGAGCCTGCGCTCTAGAGCCTGCGAGCCACAACTACTGAGCCCACATGCTGCAACTACTGAAGCCCACGTGCCTAGAGCCTGTGCTCTGCAACAAGAGAAGCCATCACAATGAAAAGCCCGCACACCACAACAAAGAGTAGCCCCCGCTTGCTGCAATTAGAGAAAGCCCATGTGCAGCAACGAAGACCGAACACAGCCAAAAATAAAATACATAAATTTATATAAAAATAAATAAATAAATAAAACAGTATGGTATTGGCATAAAAACAGACATATAGATCAATGGAACAGAATAGAGAGCCCAG